GGATGGACCACAATTTATCCACTCACCTACTGAAGGAAGCCTTTGTTGCTGCCTCTTTGGGGCAAATTTGAACAAAGCTGTTATAAACAGACTTACAGCATGGCTAAATTCTGTTTTGGTGCCGTGTGGGGGGAGTCCCTTAACCATCAAAGGGCGTTTGTGCAGAAGAGAGGTTGGGTGGCCTCAGGGCTCCTGGGGCTGCGTGTGGTCCAGGAGGTGCGGGGAGCTTTCTGAGACAGTGAGCTGTCCAGCAGTGGGGAGACGGGCAGCCCAGGACATCTCAAGGAGTCTTTACCTGACACCCTCCCCTCCCCTCCACCATGAGGTCCAAGCAGAGACTGGGGAAACCTGATGGAATATTAGTCAGGAGTTTTCCACTCTGGGAAGAAGGCTGGGGCCCCTCGTGCCCCAGGACTCTGGAATGAGGCTGCCCTTCTCCTCCAGCCCCCTGTGTGTCACCCTTGTGGGCAGCCCCAGGGCAGGGAGGGAGGCTCTCGCATACCTGCCTCATCCCCACCCCACTACAGAGTACTGCATGGGGCAGGTACCATCCAGGTCTGCGGTTTAACAAAGAGGGACCCCTCTCGTGTGGCTTTGCCATCTGCCTCCTGTCCGGCGAGGGAAGAAGCAGGAGATGCGGACGGGCGTGGAGCCGCAGCCCCCCGGACCTGGAAGGCCACCTCGCCCGGCTGGGGGACCATCTCCTGGCAGGATTATCAGAGCCCATCTGAGTCAACCATGCATAAAAACAGGAAGAGCTGGGACAAGATCCTTCACCTTCCTTTGATTGTCGTGGCCCAATTGTTTCCTCGCGGCGACGCCATCCGGCTGCTTCGCGGACACTCCTCTGCCTCGGTGCAGTCAGCTCCCCCCACCCCAGACGCCACGGCGGAGGCAAGGGCACCGGGGAAGTGGGGCCCTTCTGCAGAGCAAAGGCCACGGATCGCGTGGCCGCCAGATACACGGAAAGACTTGGACCTTGATCTGGTCTTTCAGGGCAAACCCAGGGGGCTTTCCGAGGCTGCGGGGACAGCTGATGCTGATGTGGAAACAGCCCCTCAAAACGCCTTCAGCTGCAGAGTGACAGAGGAGCTGCCTGGACAGGATGCGGGTGACCCTGGCAAGGGGGTAGGGAGAGCGCCCGGCTCCCCGCACCCACCTCCAGCAGCCAGGAGCGGAAAGGAAGTGCAGAGGGCTGGAAGCGCCGGCCTTGGTGGGGAGGGTCGCCCAGCCTCCGGCGCATCTGTGAAGGTTTTGCAGTGTATTGTCGTCCCTGCACAGGATTCACTGTGGCCCCTGGTGCTGGAGGAGACCCCAGAGCCCCGGGAGGCAAAAGAATCTGTCCCTTACTTGCCTTGCTGCCCCACTAGATACACACACACACGCATTCACGCGTGCACGCGTGTCTGTGCACACACACACTCAGGAACCTCTTCCCCGGGAGGTGAGTGAGGCCTTGCCTCCTGCAGAATTTACGAGACCACCTGAGGCCAGTTGGGCTTTGCGCACTTCTCCCACCTGCAAAGGTGACCTCCGAGCTTCCGGTGACCCTTGGGCATTTCCAAACTCCAGACAGCCAGGTGTTTTGCCGCCACCTGGCACCCTCTCCTGGAACCTCACCGCACGCATCTTTTCAGGACCCACAGCGGCTCCGAGAATGTCCAGTGTGAATGCGCGGCCGAGGTTGTGAGGGGTTTGCTGATCCTGTGGACCAAGCGTCCACAAAAGAAACCGGCTCAAAGCACGTGGGCTCAAGCCTCTGCTCTGACCCCTTCATCCTCACCTCTCTGCACCTGCCAGATGGGCAAAGGGAGGCTGCCATCCGCCTCCTGCCCGAGATCCTGGGGACGATGTGAGCTCAGGGGAGAAAAGAGAAGAAGCGGGGCTTGGTGACAGGGTCACCTAGGGCAACGGGAGTGGCTGGAATGACAATGCTAGCGGCCAGCAAACTTCCAAAGGAGGAGACGCCTGGCTCTCCCCCTCCCCCAGGGCTCTGCCAATACACGGCAAGCTGAATTGAGTTTGGGTGACCGTGACATCCTGGGCCCCTGCGGCACCAGCTGACCCTTCTCCGGGATGAGCAAGGGAGGCTGCTGTTGGGTAGAGAAGGTGGGCTGGTCCAGAATCTCTCAACCACAAGTGACAGAAAGCCAGCTCAAACTGGCCGCCGCCTAAAGCGGAGTCACTCGAGGTAGAACAGCTTCAGGCATGGCTGGTTCCAGGAGCCCCATCACCAGAACTTGACGTCTCTCTCCCTTTGTCCTGGTTCTGCCTTCCTCTGTGTTGGTGTCATTCGCAGGCAGCCTCTCCCCTCTCTCCTTTTCTTCTGGTCCAAGCAAACAAACGCTGATTGCCCCCAAGAGTTTGAACCGAAGGCCTGGGGCTGGCCCTCACTGCCCTGGCGTGGGTCTCTGGTTAGGGGCAGGGTCAGCCCCACTGAGCTCGAGGACTAAGGATAGGGTGGGGGCATGGCTGCCCCCAGGAAAATCAGGATGCTGTGGCCAGAAGCAGCTGGAACTGATGGGGACAAGCCACCGTGGGCACCCATGGCCGTTGCGAGCATCAGCTGAGCATTCCGGAAGCAGGCAGAGTGGAATTCAGGTCCTGGCTCGTCTCTCTGTGTGATTTGCGTCGGTCTCGGTCTCTCTGCCAGGGCCAGAGCGTGGGCCTGCTCCGGTCACCCTGGCCTGCTGCAAGGCTTGTTCCGATGACCGATTGCCATGGAATAAGCCACCCCAACCTTGGCACAAAACAACCACCGTCTCATGATCCCCGTGAACGTGGGTGTCAGAAATTAGGGCAGGACGCAGCACTGACCCATCACTCCTGTTCGGCCATGTTTGAGCCTCAGCTGGGAAGATCTGGACAGCCGGGCACGGAGCCCTCTGGAGCCTTTCCACTCACACGTCTAGTGCCCAGACTGGGGTGACTTGGGGCGGGGCTCAGCTGGGGCTGTAGACTGGGGCGCCTGCGTGTGACCCCTCCATGAGGTTCGAGCTTCCTCATGGCATGGCCGCTCGGGGGAGCCGGACTCCTCATGAGGTAGCCGAGGGGTCTCAGGGGGAGCAAAGGAAGAATTACGTGGCCTTCGACGAGCCAGCCTGGGAAACTCTGCAGCGTTATTTCCACCATACTTGACAGGTTGAAGTAGCCCCAAGCCCACCCACGTGCAAGAGGAGAGGGCAGAGACATCACCTGCTCATACGCAGAGCGTCAAAGAATTTACAGCCGTGTTGGACAGCCATCGCCCACCTCAAATGGGATGATAGATTCTCAAGGTGGGGGGCAGAGATTTTGCCCCCAGAAGCTCTTTGGCAGTGCCTGGTGCGATGGTTCTGAGCGGTTATGTCCCCAATTCATAGGTTGAAAACCTAACACGCAAGGGAATTCCCTGGCGGTCCAGTGGTTGTAGGACTTGGTGCTTTCACTGCCGTGGCCACGGTTCAATTCCCAGTCGGGGAACTAAGATCCTGCAGACCGCGTGGCATGGCCAAAAGAAATAAACAGAAACCTAACACCCCAGATGACAGTATTAGGAGGAGATGGAGCCTTTGAGATGGGATTGGTGCCCGTAAGAGGCCCCACAGAGCATCTTGTCCACGCAAGGGCACAGTGGGAAATGACCACACTGGCACCCTGATCTTGGGCTCCCAGCCTCCAGAACTGTGGGAATACCCCGCCTCTGGAGTTCTGTTATAACCGGCCGAATGCACTGAGACACTGGGCATGTTTCTGCTGTCACAACTGGGTCAGAGTGTGGGGTTCGGGCAGCGGGGGAGGGGAAGCATCCTACAGGGCACAGGACAGCCTCCTCAGAGAATGACCCAGCCCGTGGGGCCTCGGTGGAGAGACCCGGGGCTGAGGGATATGGCCTCCAGGTGTGGTCCCTCTGGCGGTCCCCGGGGCACTTTCTGGGCCCGTCCAGGGGCTGTGGTGTGGCAGGACAGCGGCCCTGAAGAGCAGCTCCCCACCCCCGGCTGAGCTCTTTGGGCGGCAGCGGAGGCCCGAGCTCTGGGCTGGGGTGGGGGAGAGCCAGGTCCATCCTAGGTCCCCACTCTGCCCCTTCGGCCTGGTGGCCCCCATGAGTCACTCCCCCCCCACCTCGCAGCCCTCCTTACTTCCCTGGATGAGCTATGACAATCTAGAGGCTGGAGAATCCTGAGAAGTCCTCCGATAATGGCCAGTGCCTGCGTAGACCTGGCCAGCGCGATTTGCCTGACCCCCAGGACCAACATGTCCTCCCCACGCGACTGTCCGGCCGGAGGGGCTCCGGCCTGTTCACAGATAGCTCCGGTTTTCTTTAGTTCCTCTCTTCTCTCTCTGCCCACCCCCGCCCCCGCCCCGGGTTTCCCTTGAAATGCCAACCAAACAGACAGCCGCGAAAGGCAGCCCCAAACCACAGCCTTCCGGGGCTGCTCTAAGCAGCGGCCTGAGAGGCCCAGGCCGGGCGTGCGTTGGGCCATTTTTGGAATTCTTCAGGAGTGAGAGCAGCCCGGCTGTCAAGGGAGCTCTGTTCACAGAGACCGACCCGGCGAAGGAGAGAGGGTGCGCTATTGTCTGGGCTGGGCTGCGGGCCGCAGGAATGCACTGGAATGCCGGCCCGCGTGGCACGGCCCCAGAGCGGGGCCTTTGTGTGCAAACACCGGCAGCCCGGCCATCCCATAAATAACGATGACCTCACTGCTAGGGCTGGACAGGCCTCCGGGTTCCAGGATTCTGTACTGTGACGGGGTGGGCACACAGGGCGGGCCCAGCTTCCCCAAGGAACACCTGTCACTGGGGGATTGGTTGTCCATAGGTAGATTGCTTTGACTGGGGGGCCAGCTGACCACCCCCCGGGAGGCTGACACCACCCCCTCCATCAGGGCTGGGGACCTCAGTCCCAGTCGGATGCTATGAAAGTGCACATGGGGACAGGGCGGGGGTGGGGAGGGGAGGCGCTGGACCAGCCCACCCTCAGGGTGACGATGCCCACTCTGCCCACTCCAGGTGACATTCTGCCGTCACTTCATCCCTGTGAGCCGAGCTTTCTTCAGCAGCAAAACCAGGACCGCAGGTTAGATGTTCCCATATGCCTCAGCCAGGAGGTCAAGGTCAACCTCACCAAGGTCAACATCACCAACATCAACAAGGTCAGTGGTGAGTTAAGTCACGTGGGCTGTGAGTACTCGAACAGTACTTCACTCCAAGGTCCTTCTCACCCAAACCCATGATCCCAGCCTCATCATGACATAACCTCAGACCCACCCATCGAGGGGCATCCTACAAACACCTGACCAGCGCCCCCCACAGGTCTGCGAAGTCATTGAAAACAAGGAAAGTCTAAGAAGACGTCGCAGCGAAGAGGAGCCTGAGGAGATGTGACGACCAGTGTGTCCTGCATGGGATCCTCGAAAAGAAAGAGAATATTGGGTAGAAGGTAAGGAAGCCTGGATAAAGTGTGGAGCTGATGAGCCGTATCGTACCGATACTGGTTTCCTAAGTGTGACAAACGTACCATGCCCATCGTAGATGGTACGACTGAGGGAAACTGGATGTCTGCCAATTTTCTGCAAACCTAAAACTGTTGTAAAATTAAGAGCATCAAATACACTGAAGAACAGGCCACCTGTGGCTACGTAGCAAGTACTCAGTAAACGGGAGCTCTGATTAGAGGTGCCAGCCTTCCCCCCATCACTCTAGACTCAGACACGCGTGACAACTCAGGGAGAGACTTCTCACCTTAATCTGCACAATGGATGACACTGAAGTTATCTTATGATGAGGAGTAGAAGAAATAAGGATGCAGGAGTGCATTGTGAGGAAAAGCAGGGGACTAGACTGTGAGAGCATTGAGAGCAAGGGCTGGGTCTTTGTTTCCTTGGTATCCCCGGGATCTGATCCAGAGGGTGGTGCACAGAAAATGCTCGACACGTTTGTTGGATAAAGGAAGGGAGGAAGGAAGGGAACACGAATAGTAGAATGAATAGATGGAAATGGGTGGATGAATGGATAGATGAATGAATACTAGATGGATAGATAAATGGATGATAGATAGATGAGTGGATTATGGACGGGTAGATGGATGGTGGATGGATGGGTGGATGGATGGTGGATGGATGGATGGATAAATGGATGGACCGATGAATGGATGGTGGATGGATGGATGGATGGATGGATGGACGGATGAACGGATGGTGGATGGATGGATGGATGATGGATGGATGGACGGATGGATGGATAGGTTGACGGATGGATGATAGATGGATGGGTTGATGAGGGGTGGATGGTGGGTGAATGGCTGGCTGGATGAACGGACGCATTTGTTGGGTTCAGGAGGGGGAATTGGTTGGAAGCTCTTCACCCTCCACTCAAGTTGTGTCTTCTCCCTTGACAAATGAGATGATCTCTGGGATCACTATTTACCAAACCCAGGGCACCTGTGTTTACCTGAATTGAACTATCCCACACTGGGGAGGTGAGGATTATTGTAAAGAACTAATTTATCCCCAGGTGATGCTGTCAACACTGGCAACGGGGATCGCTTGCCAAAATAAGACAGTCTGTGTTCCTGTGAACTCTGAAATCCCCTGCGCAGGGTGGAAAGCACCAGAATCCTGGGGATTTTTCTAGAGTGGATTTTGTTTTCAGCGAGAAAGAGTTGCAGCCATACACAAGTGGTCAGAGGTGACCTGCAAAACCGGGAGCCCCTTTCTGATCCCTCGGGTCAGCCATCAGCGTGACCACCTGCCTTGGCCCAAAACGACAGGATCCTCCACAGACAGCTTGGCAAGGCCACGGCCTGACCACTCACCACATCCCCACCCGGCATCCCTCCCCCACCTCACGGCCCCAGAGTCTGGGGTGGAACACGAGAGTTTGAGGTCCTCCGCCACCGTGTGAAATCACAGTAAACAGCAGATGTATGTCTTAGTGGGGAATCAGCTTACAAAACCATGTGTACAATAGATGCCCAACTTTGTAAATCTATAACCACCTGTGTAGAAATAGAGTCTGGAAGACCACAGAGAGCAGGTCCCCTAACCAGCGCCCATGGAGTCGAGCCCACGTGCGGGGCTCCCGCTGTAGCTGTCTCCACTGGGGTCCATGCTCTGCTGACCGTCCCACCTGGCGGCAGCTCCGGGATCCCCCTGCCCCTCTGCACCCCTGACACACCTGCCAAGGTCAGCCTTGTTCACACAGCTGCTGATGCTGCTGTGCATATAATTGATCCATTTCAGTAACTGTTACATCAACCAATGAAATCTTAAGTGCAAAAGGAGTTATTCATTCTGTGGAAACTAAGCTTTAGGAAACATCGATGCCTATAAGTTGCTAAAAAAAAAAATAAAAAAGCTTCAACTGAGTGATGGGTTAAGGTAGCAGTAAACAATTGTGGTAAACATTCGTAACATTCTAGAAAAATCCTGTATTTGGACTGTGAATTTGGAATGTAGAACTCCAGGCAGGAGCAATACAAAATGAATGTACATTTGCACCACTTGAGGTTAAAACAAAGTATAAACCATGAGCAGAAACCGCCATTGTCCTTCTCCCTGTTTTTAATGGCGCGTTCCTTTCACCAGCCTCCTGACAGCCCGGCCTGGCTTGGAGGAGAAAACATCTTCTCCTCGAAATGCTGGGCATGGCTGTTCTAGGACTGTAAGTGATTTTTACTTTCTTCTTTGTATTCTTCTGCATTTTGCAAATTTTATCCAACCGACATGTATCAATTTATTTTATAACCAGAAAGGAAAAATATGTTTAACCAGCATCAGCTCGTTCGGAGGGTCGCTGTTCCCAGGCAACCTCTGCCAGGAGCTGCACCTTCAAAGGTCAGGGTTGCTCCACCACAGTGTTGGGTCATTTGGGGCTGGACCGTTCTTGCAGGGGGCGGGGGATGGCGAGGAGGCTGTCATGTGCACGGTGGGGTGTTTAGCTCCTCAAGAGGCCAGCGGCACCGCCCCGCCCCACTTGGGACAGAGGAACGTCTCCAGACATTGCCAAATATCCCCTAGGGGTTAACCTCACTGGAGGCTGAGAACCACTGATCTAAATAAAAGAGCTTCTAGAATCCTACATGTCTGTCCTGGGCAAAGCCTTGAGCCAGCAGAACGTACCGGAAGGTCTGCTCCATTTCCCTAGACCCACCCACATTCCACACCCCACCCTGCGGACCCCAGCCTCCTCACTGTCCCCACCCGTGTCCCCTTCACACCAAACGTCAGACAGGTGACACTCAAAATGCTTTCAGTTATCTGGATGTATTGGCTTCACAGAGTCATACCCTGGACAACTGGAAACAGTGTGAGTCTAAACACCATCTTTACATTTTCACCGCTATGAGGTGCTGCACAAAGAAGATCCTGGCTCTGTCTCTCCAGAAAAGGTTATTTCCCGAGGTGGATGGACCCCTGCGCTGGCCACCTCCTCCCACAATGGACCGACAGGGCAGGAATCCAGCCTCTCGGGTGTCACTTTCTTCTTAAGCTTCACTTGCTCTTTTTTCCATTCCTGGAAAGACGTTGGCTTTTTCTGAATCTGGAAAAGCCCTCGAAGATTCCAGCAAAAGTCAGAAGCGTGAGGCAGGGGCCACTCCACGTGGCCACACCCCCTGCCTCCCTGCGTGGGAGAAGATGCTGTTACATCTCCCACCCCTCCCACCTTTAGCCATATGCTCTGGGTGGGGCCTTGCTAGGGACCCTGACCCTTCTGCTCCCCAGAAACAGGTTAGGCTTGACCACCTGTGGTCCCTCCAGCCATATCCTAGGGGTCTGGGCAGTGTACCCAGGAAATCTTTCCTATCAGGGTCCACTCGTTCTGAACCCAGAAAAGCCAAAAGGGAGCTGAGTGGGTGAGGCATTAAGGTGAACGCAGAGGAAGCACGGGGAGGGAACGTTCTGGAATGTCTGGTGGTCCTTCCCTGTGGAGGGCACACTGGGAGAGGAAGAAGGCGGACCGTGCCTCCAAGGGCCAGGACTTCTGGGCTTTACTGGGCAGACCACACGCCCAAGACTGACAAGGTAAGCCGTTGGGGGTAGGAAGAAGCATTAGACATTTATCCTTATTTTCTCATGCTTTTTTTCCCAAATAACAGCTTTATTGATACATAATTCACATACCACACAATTCACCCAAAGTGTACAATTCAGTGGTCTTTAATTCATTCACCAAGTTGTGCAACTATCACCATCAACTAATTTTAGAACATTTTCATCACCCCCAAAAAGAAACCTGCTACTCATTAGCAGTCACTCCACATCTGTCGCCCGCCAGACCCTCGTCACCACGAATCTACTTTCTGTCTCTACGGATTTGCCCATTCTGGACTGAATCCTATAATATGTGGCCTTCTGCAACTGGCTTCCTTCACTGAGCGTAACGTTTCATCTGTATTGTAGCATGTACCTGTACTTCCTCCTTCTTAGGGCTGAAAAGTATGCCGTTATATGGACTAGCGCCGTCTGCTTATCTATTCATCAGCGGATGGGTATTTGCGTTGTTCACGCTTTTTATGCTGCTGTGAACACTCACGTACATGTTTTAGCATGGACTTATGCTTTCATTTCCCTTGGACACATACCTAGGAGTAGAACTGCTAGGTCATACAGTCACTCTGTGTTTAACATTTTGAGGAACTGCCAAACTCTTTTCCGAACTGACTGTGCTATTTTACGTTCCCACCAGCAACGAACCAGATTCCAATTTCTCCTCATGCTCGCCCACACTTGTTATTGTCTGTCTTTTAAATTTTAACCATCCTAGTGGATATGAAGTACATTCTAGGTACTTTTGCCATAAGCATCTTTGCCATAGACATCTTTGCTACAAGCATTTTTGCTGCAAACATTTTCACCACATAACTAATTGGCCATAAGGCAAGTTTGCCATAAAAGATTAAATAACGAAAAATAAAAGAAGGACATTAAAGAGGACATAATGAAACATGAGAAATGAATAACAAAATTAAGAAGACTTTATCACAAAATACAAAACATTTGAATACACTTAAGATATGTGTAGATTCTCAACAGCACTGTGCAGATGATGGATTTTATTCTTTGAGTTGTACCTAAGCTCTTGTCTTCCAGGTCATTGTATTTTCTACAGTTTTTTTGCTTATTGATTTGTCTCCTTGTTCAGCATCACATCTTTTCTTTCTTTAAAATTTCTTCTTTTGTTAAGAAAGGTGTCAGTTTCCAAACACTAGGATGGGTGTTTGTACCTGAGCTCTGGACCATATGCAGTGACAGCCTCCACACTGCTATGTGCCCCTGACCTGCTGTCACATGTGCATCGATAGACATTCCAAAGTCCTATTGTGGGTTCAACTTACGTATTCCACGAATACAGGTTGTCTTTCCATTTACTTAGGTCTTCTTTAGTTTCTTTCAACAAATTTATAGTTTTTGCACTTGTTTTCTTAAATTTATTCTTAAGTCTTTTATTCTTTTTGATATTACTGTGAATGGAATTCTTTTCTTCACTTCATTTTTGGATTGTTCATTGCCTGGATGGGCAGAGTTTCAGCAAGAAGAGAGAGCAGACAGATGTGGGATCAGAGGTGGAGGGATAGCTTGCAGCCCAGCTCTACCAGGACCAGATGGGCCATCTTGGTTTGGGGGAGTGTCCCCACAAAAGATACGTTCAAGTCCTAATGCTCAGAACCTGTGAATGTGATCTCATTTGGAAAGAAGGTCTTTGTAGATGCAATATTGCAAAATTAAGATACATCAAGTTAAGAGAAGGTCATGCTGGATTAGGGTGGCCCTAATCCAATGATAGGATGAGGCAACTTTGGACATAGACACAGAGGAGATGCACAGGGGAGAAAGCTATGTGACCACGGAGGCTAGAGTGATCTGGCTACAAGCCAAGGAATGCCTGGAGCTCCCCGAAGCTGGAAGAGACAACCAAGGATCTTTACCGTGAGCCTTAGGAGGGAACACAGCCCCACTGATACCTTGATTTGGACTTCTGGACTCCGGAACTGGCAGAGAATAAATTTCTGTCTTAAGCCCCCCAAATTGTGGTCATTTGTTACAGCAGCCCTAGGAGGCAAATACCGTGGGCTAGGGAATGGATCTCTCCTCTTTCAGTTTCCTCACCTGGAGAATAGAAATAATGATATCACCCTGTGAGGCAGGAGCTGGGGACCCAGGCCTGCCAGGCTGCTTAGGTGTGAGCATCACCTGTAAAGGGGGAGGACCATCTAGAAACGTGCTATCACCTTGATCCTGTATTGCCAACAAGTCTTGGGGGAGGTAGAAGCCAGGGCCCACATTTTATGGAGAGAGGCAAAGCCCAGGGGTGAGATGTGAATGATGAGTTCATGGTCACGGGCACAGCCCAGAGATCAGCGTCCCGCCTGGACGAACGGCGTGCAAATCCTTCAAAGAGCCCAGGTCCCTGCTCAGGTGAATCTGGGTCATAGAGCGGCCGAATTCCCTACCCCCTGGAAGGCTCTCTTCAGCATGGCCTGTGATGTTGTACTGGTCGGATGGGCCAGACGGGCCTGACCCGTAGCCCCATGGCCCACCTGGCCTGGCCTGGCTTCCCGAAGGACTGCATCTCTCCTCTGAAGACACACCTCTACCTGCTGGCAGACCCGCGTCCTCTGGGGATGCCTCCGATGTCTTCCACCAGCTGTGAGCCACTTGGTGACACATCTCGGCCTTGGAAATGGGAAATGGCCACGCTGGTTCTCGGGAACCAAGGAGGTCTCGGGCCAAACAGAGACTGGGCTCTGCTCATGAGAAAGGGGAGCAGCCCTGGGACCTCAAAAATCGGCAGCCCATCTGCATGGAGGGGCCAAGGCGGAAGATGAGCGATTCATAGTCTCGGGCCCCTGCGTGGGCCCTGGGCTCAGTCGACCTCTCCGAGGTCCAGATAGTTGATAGTTAGGTGCCCGGGTCCATAGTGAGCCAGCGTGGAGCTGGGGCTCGAACCCAGGGCCCTGCATTCTGGTTTGCCTTCCTGGCCTCCCCTCAAAAGCCTTCTCACCCTGTGAGGGATGCTGTGGGGAGCTTGGCATCCATCGCCTTTCACTTGGGAAAGAAATCAGAAATCCGTCAACTTGGAGTTTGATGGGAATATTTAACTAATACGTGGATGCCCGTGTTTCTAAATGTTTTGTGGTGACATACAGTTGAAATGACTGCAAAGTAGTGTACTTATTCCGTATTCTGAGCCACACGCCTGAGGTTAGCCTTCCTGATACAGCACGTGGCTGGAGGATGACCCGCGAAGCCTTCTGTTTGCTTCTTGCCAAACGGCCCAACAAGATCGAGGGTGGAGGCGTCTCTCCGTCGCCATAGGGTTATCGTTAACGGCTCAGGGCTCCGAGCGGAAACGTGAACGCGAGAGATTGAGGCATCTGGAAACGGCTTGTCATCACCATCCAGTTGGGGGACCCTGGCAGCCACACCTGGCGGCCCGAACGCCATCCAAGTCACCAAAGCAGAGGAAGCATTTGCTTCCCGATCGTGCCTTATATAAGCTCCAAAGGCCCCGCCAGAAGCCCATGGGGGTGTGCCACGATTATTATCCCGATTTCCCAAATTTCCCAAGTGTCATTT